GATCAAATCAAGCCACGTACGCGGGAGCACGGATGGGCACACGCGCGGGAAGCAGGCAGAGCCGTAATCCTACCCACTAATGAACTTCGTTCCGGTTTCAGATGTATTAATTGCCTTCTCATGACTGCACTTTGTATCATGTTTTTTTTTGCATTGTAGATGTAGCATTTTACTGCGATTGTTTGCCCGTTTTTGTTTGATTTCACCAAGATCCCCGGAATCACGAGATTGGGAACATTCATTAGAGAACACTCATTTTTGGTGGAAAATATGTTGATTGGACGCCATAAAACCTTCCATACGATGAGAAGATGTGTCAGGAAACTGCATTCGGCTCTCCAAAAGAGAAGACGATGTGTAGTACGAGCACAACTACTCGTAGCGGCGGTCATACCGCACGCCGCCGCCTCCCTTGGGTCAACTACTTTCATCCCATGCAATTGGATCTGACAAATAGAGAGATTCCACCATACGAAACAATATCAGAACCTCAGGACCGGAAGGGGTCCGGATGGGGAATCAACATAAGGGTCTCCACCTCACCATTGCTTCAATCACATAGACCACGACGTCGATCTCCATGGTCATCATCCATGCCATCGACACCAACTCTTTCATCCATCTCGTTGTAATCCTAAACCAATTGTGGATTCATAAATGTCTCACTTTAATCATTCCTGTGTTATTGATAAGAACACCTCGGTGATGTCTTGTGCCTCTATGTCCAAATAGTTCCCTATTTCTCAGTGAGACGGAGTAACCCTGGTATTTATATGAACTGAATGTCAACAAAACACCAAGTCCGGCACACCATAACGCCACAAACTTTGTGCTTTATCTCGTATGGAACCCTAAGATCAAGTTGGTATATGAGAGCATAAACAAGTTTAATCCCCTAAATCACATGCCTGGCTATGTGCATATACAGCTGGGACAATCTGATCGCTTTCTTTCTCACAGTACATACAGTTGACTCATCCATGCCATCTATGTGCAATTGATTGTACATCAACTAATCCCTAGACTAGATCGATGACCATGTCGATCTCCCAAGGCAATTTCATAACACCAAAACGAAGTAAATTTAACTGCATACAAGGATAAATCCACGGACCTATAAACAAAAAAGAAATCTACACCGCCCGAGGTCGATCGATCACTTGTGCGCCGCCGCGCCAGCGCCGCGCCCCATGTAGGACGTGATCGCCGCCGCCAGCACCGACTGGAAGCTCGGGTCCAACGTGATCGCCTTCGCGATCGTGTCCGTCACCGCCGGCGCGGCCGCGGGCGCGCCATGGACGCCGCCGCCGCTGGACGTTCTCTGCAGGTACGACGACGAATGGGCGGCGCCGTACAGCTGCTCCGCCCTCGTCGTCGCCATGCCCAGGCCGAAATGCTGCCCCATTGCCGGCAAGGAGCTCTTGCCGTAGAACGGAAGCCCCCCGGCGTACGGCGCCAGGTAGCCGCTGCTCCACGCCGCCGGCAGCGCCTTGGACTCGTACCCTGCCGCGTAGGGAGACTGGTACTGCTGCTGCATGAGCGAGTGCGGGGCGGTGAGGTCGAGCGTGACGGTGGGGCAGGACGCGATGGTGGAGATGGTGGTCGGGCCCAGGAGCCCTGCGGACGCGAAAGGGAGGTGGTGTCCGTGGGACGAGGACGAGGAAGAGCCGGCGAGCAGCATGGACGCCGCGGCGGAGGTGGTGGACGCCATGGCCGCGGCGGCCGGCGGCAGCGGGTGGCTGTGCGTGCCCTCGTAGGTCGTGATCAGGATGGACATGTCGTCGGCGCATCTCTGCACCTGCTTCCGCACCGGGCAGGACGGTGCCACGGTGCACCGGTAGTAGGCGCGCGGGCACGGGTTCCCCTTGGAGATCTTTTGCCCGTACTTCCGCCATTGGCATCCATCGTTCATCTGTTCATCATCAACACGCAGAGAACTCATTAGCTCATCATGATTTTGAATTCAAACCAATTCAAAAGTATTTTCTTGTGGCATGCAATTTTGTACTGTATGTTGTACTATGCGCAAACGTACCGTGGGGGTGTCGCATTTGACACGGACGGAAACCCTAGCCTTCTTGGCCTGCTGCTGGAGCACCTCGTCGTCGGCTCCGTCGACCCCGGCGCTGGGGCTCTTGCGTGCTTTGGTCGCCGGTGGGCAAGCGGCGGCCGGCAGGTCGCTACCGGGCGCGGCGGAGTCGTCGGCGCTGCTGTCGGAGCTGAGGTTCATAAGGGGCGTCGCTGACGGGCGGGCGACCTGCCTGTTGTCGCCGTCAGTGGAGCGACGGCTGCTGAGCCCGAGCGACAGCTGATCGTCGGGGTCGGTCTCGGTTCCGGAGGACGACGACGACAGCGACCTCTGGTGGGCGCCCTTGGGGCGGGCGTAACCGCCGCTGCCGAGGCTCAGGGAGACGAGATCGTCGGCGGTGGGTGCCGGCGCGGAGGCTGCAGGGAGCTTGTCGGCGGCCGGTGCTTGGTGCTTGACCTTGACGGCGTCCTGGAAGTGCGTCTGGAGCGACTGGTAGTCCCTGACGATGTGGGAGAGCAGCGTCTTGAGGCGCTCGTTCTCCTCCCTCACCTCGCCCATCTCCGCCTTGGTCGCCTCCAGCTTGTCGTCCTGCACATGCACAATACCCAAGAGAAATCATTAGATGATGAGAACTGTACATCGTACTAGTGATTCTTCGTAAATAATCCCACATGATTCGATCTTTAATTTGGTGCAATTCATTCTTAACTTGCTTCTACTACTAGTACTATTTCTTACTACATAGCACTCCTAATTAAACAGCTCTCAGTTTGACTTGCAGATCATAGTTTGTAGTAGTACCTTGCTGGTGGTGATCGAATTTCTTTGCGTGGATGGGAAACTCTCGAGGACCATTGGAAGCGCGCTTGCGATCTGCAGGCCAAACAATTAAAGCTAATTAAGTTACAACTCGATCTCAAGAAGGAACATGTAGCTATAGGGTACACGTTCATCGATCACCAGCTCAATTATTCATGGTGATGCACAGCACTGCCGGGTTAACATGCATCTAGTGGACAACTTAAAGAGAAGGAGCAGATTATGTGTGTGTACCTCCATGGTCTCCGGCTTGTTCTCCTCTTTCACCGGCGGCGGCCTCTCGACGGCGACGTCCATGGATGGATCAGTCACAAAGATCAAGCAGCTAGCCACGAGATGGAGGGAGCTTTGTTCGCTTTGGATGAGCAAGAGACGCCTTGTGGTTGCAGTAGCCCCGCGCCCTCCTTATAAAGAAGGATCGGAATCGAAGCGACGACGACGACTAGGACGAAGCCTACACTTTCTGACTCGCCGGGGATTAAACTAATCGAAAACCAGCAGTTGCTGCGTGCTCCGCGTACCAAATCTCAAATCCCAGTGCCTGGCTCCTTAACCTACTATCACGGCGGCCCGGTTGCTGGTTCCCGTCCAGACCATCGAGCGAGCAAACGAGCTCATAAACAATGTCAACGCGTGTACCCAGCCTCCCTCATGGGCAGCTACCTCACCCGTCCAGACCTGCCTGCCTGCTAGCGGGTGAGGTAAGCAGGCTGCCTTGGCTTCCCCATTCCCCAATATAATACCGCCCTCGCGCGCGGTGGTCACCACCGCCCGTGGCCGTCGTCAGCGTCGTCGCCGCCCACAACGTGTGCTGCAAGTCGCCGGCCCCCGCCGCGTTGGTTCCGCGAGCGAGCTAGCCCCCCTCCGAATGCGGATCGCACGCACGCACGCACGGACGTGCGACCTGCTTCATACATCCAATCATCCTTCCCTTTCGCTCCGAGAGAGAGGCTTTGACTTAGCTAGCTTAGATGTGTTCTTGGTTAGCGTATGTACGCACGCAGCATGAGCGTGCAGCTAGCGTTGAATTCGTTTGGGGCCGTCTTGTGTGTTGACTTTCGTACGGCTAACCCGGAGAAGCAAGCAACTGGTGATCGGAATTGTTCAGCCAGCCATCGGTCGGTCGGTCGGTCTGTCCAATTTGAGTCTGAACTGTTCTCCTCTCCACGTAAAAATATGGTCTGAATTCTCGAATAACGCCTCGACGTGAGTGACGCACACACGCAGTACTGATTCAGGATTTACGTGCATGCAGCGGGTCAAACGTAGTAACAGCGAAAACTCGGATCGGTCACTGAACTCAGGCGTGAAAAGTAAAAACGTGGAACAACAGCGCGAGTGCAAGTACAGCCCGGTCAGCACCCATTTACCTGTTCTGTCCCGGTCGGTAATGGTGCTTTTTTTACATGATAATACGTGTCCCAATCATATTATAAAGATCAAAATACAAATCACGTAAGGACCGAGATGACAAAACTAAAAAAATAATAGAACATCTTTAAGCTTAACACCAACACCCGTTATCTGCCTCCAGCACCATCGTAGCCGCCACCGAAAAAAAGAATGACGGGTCGCCTCCCTCCCTCCCTCCATCCATCATTTTTCAAGCTACGTGGTATGAGAGGAAGGGAGTAGTACGTACATACGTAACTGTACTTGTAATCAGCAGCTGGGCTGTTGCGTCTGAACAGTACATGGTACTAGGGCATGTGCGGGGTACTGTAGAGTCGCCGGCGCACATGCACAGTACTCGATCGATCCCAATTTATGCGACGCGACGCGAGGTCATATCATGTGCTGGATGATAAAGAAAATGCGTGCGTACGGCGTGTGACCGGATGCGATGGCGATCCGTTCCCTCCCAAGTCCAAGAAGTCTTCGTCTGCTAAGATTAAGTATAGTAGAGGTGAGGACACGATGGATGGATCGAACCTCCGGTACGTGCCTGCGATGGAGCGTGACGTTCTCCTCGCCGCGATCAAATCAGAGGCAAGTCGTCCAAGCCAGGCCTCCTGAATGCGATGTGGCCTCCCATCGAATTGGGCATGCAAAGGATCAAATTGGCTTGTACTCCCTCCGTTCCTAAATATAAGTCTTTGTAGAGATTTCACTATGAACTACATATGGATGTATATAGATGCATTTATCGAAAAAGGCTTGCGCCCCGCTATATATTAATATAACAACCACTCGATACAGCCAGAAGTTCGATGTTGGGGCAAACAGCACAATCATGCCCAAAAGAAAAACAAGAGAAAAGCAAGAGAAAGAAATGCCGGCAACACCGAATGAACGAAAGCTGAAGCATCCCGCAACCGCTGCGCCCACCGGAAACATCCACCACGCTCCAATGCCATCGAGTCGCCGCGAACCAAGCAACACCTTCAAGAAGGACTGCAATGACAACGACGCTGCTGCCCGGACGAATCCTAGGATTTCTCCCGGTACATGGAGGGAAGCGGGTGAGAGGTACTCCCGACGCCCTTCAAGAAGGTTGATGGCGCCCGCAGGCGTCACCGCGTCGGTGCCGGGCGGACCCGAGAGGGATTTCGCCCTACCCCTCAAACCCACAAACCAGGACCAACCGGCGGCTCCACCACGCCAACCGCCCACCAACCTACACCACCACAGTCACGAGGACACCACCGTCGTCTCTCCACTGCAGACGCTGCGAGGCCGGCCGAACCAAACGAGACCACCGCAGATAGGGACCAGGAGCACCACAGCCACGTGGGAGGGGACAACCTCCACTGGCACAAGCCGTAGCAGACCGGACGCAGGCGCGGGAGCACGCCAGACCCCCTGCCCAGCCGGGCCCAGATCGGGCCCGTTAAGCTCATGCTGCCGCGCCGACGCAGCGCAGAGCCGCCGATCCCAACGACCACATCCTGCCAGCCCAGCCGGAGGAGACCCGCCGGAGGCCAGACCAACCTGCCCTGACCCAGATCGGGCCCAAAAGGGCCTAAATCTGGGCCAACAGGGCTCCGCCGGCCAAGCCCCGCGGCCAAAGGGTCGCGTCGCCGCCGAATCTGCGCCCGATCTACACCGGAGCACCACCCACCGAGGCGCACCGTCGCCGGAAACCGCCGCACGAGCCGGGGAACCGCGAGGGGGAGAGGAAGAGGGCCGCCACCGCCGGCCTCTCCACGGCACCGTGCGGGCAACGCCCGGCCACGCCAGCCGGCGATAGCGGCGGGAGGAGGGATGGGAGGTGGGGGCTGGGC